AACACATAAGTCCTATGATTTTACCAACTGAACAGGTTCAGATATTCTGTTATACATCTATTCCAGGCTGTACAAAACAAAAATATACATAGCCTGGTACAAGAACTCAGGCCTCAGGTTAATTCTCACAGAAACACATGATGAGCAAGTGCATGTTCCAGCAGTTCTGTAATGAAGAAAAACCGAGGCAGATGTTTGTGTGTCAGTGTGATAATGGAAACTCAAACATTTGTGAATATGGTACATGGAGAAGCATATAACAAATAGAAAATACAAAGATAGATTTTAAAAGACAAGGTTGTCTTCATCATGAAGCATACCTATTCATAAATGTCTATACCATGTTCATTAAAATAATTATCTAAGCCTGGTGTGGTGGCGCATGCCTTTAATCTCAGCAAGCGGGAGGAAGAGGCAGGCAAATCTCTGTGAGTTCAAGGCCAGCCTGGTCTACATAGTGAGTTCCAGGACAGCTTGGGCTACAGGGAGACGCTGTCTCAAAAAGACAGAAAAAAAGAAAAAAAATTATCTAGGTGAGCACATGATACCACAGATGGATCTTTCAACATAGACCATGCTGAATGGTAAAAGGGGTTTTAAAAGACAGTAACATGCTCACATCGCCTTACACACACAGGAGATGAAGCATCCTTTGTCTCACATGTTCAGTACTAAAGTTATGGCCACTGATTTATTTTGTATTTTTCAATATTTGATGCACACAATGATACATCTTACAAATGGGACCATATATAAGCACATAACTCATTGCATTCCAAGCACACGTAACACAGAATCTGAAGCTATGTTTAATCTTTGTCACTAATATTTTTCATCATAACATAATTTCATACTGTACACTTTACTCGTCAGTAGAAATCTGTGGGACTTTGCATTTCAGACTTTCACATTGGGTGTACCCAACTTATAGGGTAATCTGGGACTTCTGTGGGGTTGAAATGTGATAGAATAAAATATGATTGTAAATGACAGATGGGAACAAACAAACCATAAGAAAACTATAAGAAACTAAAATAATATAAATAGAAAAAACACACACCTCTATGGGGAAAAATGACAACATGAGAGAGAGAGAGAGAGAGAGAGAGAGAGAGAGAGAATGAATATATTAAGCTCATCCTTCTGCTCTGAAGAAAAATGTACATGAAAACAGACTGTGTGTTGACATAAACTAGAATTCTGGAAGGCATGTGTCCAGAGACTTAAGTGTCTGTTTCTCAGATTTTTATCCTTCTCCCAAGGATCCAAAGCCCATTGGATTTTCACAAACACTCCTGGCTCACTACACAATAACTGTCCACGAGGCTCTGTTTAGCTACCTTAAACTACTACTGGCCATATGACCCAGTAATGACCAAAGAGAGATGAGCCAAAAGGAGAAGTTTCCCTTCCCCAAAATAAAGACAAAGGCTTCCCCCGTGAGACTTGATCACCCTCACCATTTGTGCCCTGCTTTCCATTCATGAAATGTGAGCAAGTTGTGGGTCACACGTATCACCTCTTTGAAATATGAATATAAAAGTATCACAGCAGCAGTCAGGAGACCCAAGTTCTTTCATATTTACTTGAGGCTAGTTTTAACCTAATTTATTCACCCAAAACTTCTCATTTCACATATTTCAAAAATGTTACTTTTCAAT